GTCATCCTTAGCTTGATGTTATTACTTTGGGGGAATAGGGAGAGTAAAAAGTACGATGGGTGGGATATAGAGATCAGGCGTCATTTTTTATTTTATTTTATTTTATTTTTATTTTGTTTACTTCTTTGCTTCCTTGGCTCGAGAGAGAAAAAATAACGCCTGATACATTCATTTACAAGCCGTCAACCGCCCCCTAATTTAATTTAACAATCCAACGTCTGCTTGACCTGTCATGTTATTAGCCAATCAGCGTTTACAATACGGGAATCAAATTTTGGCGCGAATAATGGTAGTCTTTAAACTAGAGCCTAAATAAGGTAAGAAATATTTCAAGGCAAGTAAATTTTATGAAAATTCTTCAAGTAGAATAAAGTTTCACACACAACCTACCTTTTTTACTTCAGGTTTACTTAAGCCTATTTTCACACGCAAAATAATTAAGATTGATTGACCTGATTCGTCTTTCTCAAAGCTTAGAAACCGCAAGTTTGCTAAGCGGGTTTTAAGGATGGTTTTCAAGTCACTTGAAACTTTATTCGAATTGTTTCAACTTTCCGACTTAAATGAAATGCAAACTAAAGTTACTTGAGATTTTACTTAGGCCTTCACACGCACATTTTTGGTTAAGTAAAACTTAGCAGTTCTTAACCGCTTAGTGTAAAGACAACCAATGTCCCTTTTGAAATGTTCAGATATTGTTGTTGTTTTTTGTTGTTGTTGTTGTTTTTTTGTGATAAAATACTTCTAGCTGGAGCCGCCGTACCTTAACTGAACAGCTACAAATAATACTGAGAATCAACTGGTAAAAGTTCATTGACTTCCTTCTGTGCCGAAAGCGGTGAAAAAAAAAATTAGGCTGGTGCACCATATTTCACGAACTAAAAATTGTTGTGAAGGAGGAGACCGCTTAGAATAATTTGCAGGTTTCTGAAGGAGGAATTACAGCCGAACCCGGACAAGATTCCATTCATGAATTGATTATTTGAAAAGTGAATCCGTTTGTCGCTTCTGTAACTTATCCGGTATCAAATTGCATTCAAATGATCGGTGAATATATTTGACTGCAACTTTTTTATTATAGGATGAGGTGGAAAGTTTTTTAATGGATCAAATTTCGATTTGGAACATTCTTCAAATTCAAGAAAACTGAACAGTCAGAAATTTCATCACGAACTCGCTTGTGCATGGCACTGCTCCTTGCGTAAACAAAAATGCAGACTGAAATCAACGACAACTAACGGATTGCGGCATTTTGGCCAATTGGAGCAGCGTAAGTCATCCGTATAGTTTCCTGTCCAATCAGAAAGAAATCCAGATTCTGGCTTTTATGCATGTGATCTGTGAAAGGATTGTATCGTGCCCTTCTCCATAAAACAGATTACAGAGATAAAGGGAGAGGGCATGATCGCAGGCTATAAGGCAGTGGTAGGAAAAGGAAGTAAGGAAGAAAATATTCGCGTATTTTCTTGTCTCTCTGCAGCCCCAGTCCCTTCGCCCACCCTCTTGCCTTTTTTTTATTGCCTACGCGAAATATAGCGACAAAAAAATCCTTCCCCCACCCCAGAATCTGCACGGCATGCTTCTATTCGTTGCGCACAAGTGCTTCTTTGAGTACTGCTGCTATATATAATTCAATTTGCAAGCTGAGAAGCACTAATCGAGGGATAATTTCAAACGATAGAATTGGGTTTTTGGTAAGTTTAATATACATTTATTTGATACTAGATATCTTAACATTGAACTAAAAACATAAGTACAAGATAAAGTCCGAGTAGAACAGTCGATCAGAGTCACGAGATTTGTGTGCAAAGATTCTTCACAGAAGAACTTAACGCCGTGGTGATAAATCTTATCCCTTACGAGTCTCTGTAACCGCTTATTTGCAAAACAGACGGAAGCGAAAACTGCACTTAAATCAAGTTTTCAAAATGGGTCTTCAAATGTTTCTCTATCTAACAGTCAGCAACTAACTCAGGCTTTAAACGTCAGGATATAACATTTAAACCGTCAGAATTAATTGCGATTGAAGTATGAGGCTAGGGAGACCCCAGTTGTTAAACTTGCGGGTATTGTTTGCGACTGAACTGGATATACTAAGGCTTGGAAAAGCTTGTTTAATACAGTAGAACCATGGTAACTCGAACTCTGAAGGAAAACGAAAAACGGTTCGCGTTGGTGGGGAATTCGAGTTCTCAGAGGTCGTATCCGCATCAATGGCTGCGTAACTGAAGTCAGGGGCGCGTTAATCGGACGTTTGATAAATTGAATGTGAGCCCACTAGTTAATCTAATTGAACCTTAATGACTCAAATGAAACAAGAAGACCATTTTTCGAAAGAAAATCTCCTTTGTAACCGACTTCCTTTAAGTGCTATAACGTTTGAACGGCGCAAAAGGAAGTATTTCCGTGCATAAGTTATCTAACATATTAAAAGGCTTCATGCTTGATTAAGTTCTAGACTACATGTTATTGTATTTGCATTAATCTGAATTTGAAGTAAGCCAGCAGTGCCATATGCCATGGAGAGAGGCAAGGTACTGTTCGCGGAGGGAAGGGTGGTGTTAGTGTCAATAGTGAAGGGTAAAATTGGCCTGTTTCGAAGCATTTAACTCCGCCATACTTGGCTCCGAGGCTCAATGAAAAAGCAAATAACAGAAACCGCATTGAGATTCAGCGGGTTGCTAATTCCTTTCAGTCATATAACATATTTCCTCAACTAAAGGTAAAGTATGAAGTTGATATATTCGGAAATGACCTTATTTTTTTATCTGCTTGTTTGATAATTATGGAGCTATTGTGACAGCTGTTTTGGAAACCCTGTTTCATTTAGTAGCAGATATCAGCCAATTTTAAGGAACGAAATTACGGAGTGTTGACAAAGTGCGACAGGAAAAGAAAAGGGGGTGCAGATGGTGGGTGCATTGCTAAGAGAAACTGGAAACCTATGGATGCAAGAAAATTTGGTTATGACGTTAAGTGTACGCCCACCCGCCCGTACAACCGTACATATGAGCCGATTCCAAATGTCACATTAGATCTTGCACAAATATTGACACCAGCCTGTCAGTTTTCTTTTCAGTCATCCGTATGAAGATGAATTGTCAGGTGTCAAAATCAGACATCCGCTGACAAATATCAAATGACCATCTCTCGGGCTCAGATGAAAGACCGGTCGTTTTGCCCCTACATAAAAGCCGAATCGGATGTAATTTGTCACACTTATCAACATAAAAATGAAATCCTTTCTCACCGGGCAGGGCTGTCAGCCGGCTGTCAGTAGTTTATTGTTTATTGTTGATATTTTTTCCTTCTTTGAGTAACAATGAAGGAAAAATGAATATAACATCCACAATTCGAAAAAAAGAATCTCAAAAGGCTAGGAAGCCTCAGGAGGCCATGAAGGCTAATAGGTGAGACTTCCTCTTTACCTTAGATTTAGTTGTTACTAAAGGTATTAATTAAAATTATGTGCAAGTCAAATCACGCTTAATTGACGGCTGTCAAAATGGGGCATCTGCAGACCACTATCACAAACCTAATATCGTGGGTTCAGGTACACGACCCTTCTATTTGCCATCCTTGTGAAGGTCAGTTGACAGCTGTCAATCTAAAGCATCCGCTGACCATCATCACCTGCGGGATCATTTTTGTACAGACTGAGGTCACGTAACTGTCTTCTGGCTTTCCAATATGGCTGCGGCAGGAGAGAAAACCCTGGCACACAGCGAACTAAAGCGATCGCTGATTGGTCCATTTATACATGCGCGTTTTGCTTATTCCAAGGCAAAGATGGTGGCTTTATGGAAATGAGAAGTTCTTTCTTCAGTGTCTGAGACCTAAAAAGTGGACAGAATTCCTGTCTGATCGTTTGGAAATCTGTGATTCTAGACACAAGGAGAACGGATTCTAAAAAAAGATAGTTCGCCGATTATTCACGCTTCCATTGGTTTTCAACATGTGTCTAAAAAACACGAGTTACAGCCAATTCCCCATCTAGCTGCTTCAAACATTTATAAATCGTCCTTGGGTACGATAATTTATGAGATATCTGAAATAGTACTCGCTGGGGACATTATAAGGCATAAAGGTATTTCTGTTACCAACGATTTGTTTCTTTCGCGATTTGCAAGGCTTCAGCTGTCCGGTTGCAAACATTTTCCAATTCACGCTCCAAATCTGCGAATGTGCTATACAATTGCAGTTTAGTGAATCTTATCCCAACCCTACTGTACTCAATATATCTGTGCTTTGTCTCGACCAGTGTTTTGTTTCATTTCTTCGTAATATGCATGGGCCTAACCTGGCCTCATGTGATCCACTCGACTCGGAGAACCAAACATGGCCACTGTGTCGCTTCCCTTTCATATCTTTAATCCTGACTTTTCATTTATTCAGTTTTTAGTCTCACAATAATGATGGTGTATTATTATCAGTGTTGATAGTGCCTCTCCCTTCAAAGTATATTCATAAACTGAGGTTTTCTTTTCTCGGAAATGAAAACTGGGATTTTTTTTTCTACTTGCAAAAATAAAATAATGAAAGCACATAATCTCCTTCATTTAAGCAAGTTGAAGACAGTCATCACCTTTTAAGGGAATCCACAACAGTCTTGGATTTTTGATTCCACGCCATGGATTTTGGATTCAAGATACTGGATTCTGGATTCTTCGATCAAGCCCTCAAGGCAGCTCAGGCAAATAAATTGGCCGAGAAAGAATCTAAGCAACTCCAGTAAAACACTGTTACTTCCAGTGCAGGGATGCCGTTCACAGGAGACCTACCCCTCACCAAGGAAGCCAAAAGCAAGCTGGGTCAAAGCCAATAAATGAGAGAAAAACAGTGTTTCAGGTGTGGCTCATCACAGCATTTAGCAGACAAGTGCAGTCATGCTGAATCTACATGTGGGAACAGCACCACACCTCAAGTTACAGCCACTCCAACACCAGAAGTGGCATGGGGTAGGTGGGGGGGGGGGGGGGGCNTTGGTCGCATTGGCGTTCATGCCATGGTCATCAGGAGAAGAAAAGCTGTTATATGAAACACCAAATGAAAACCTTTGGGGAGGCTGGGAGAGCCTTCCTCGTACTCAGTCGAGTGTAATTATTTTCATTGTTTTTTCTTGTACTTACAGATTATTAGCGCCCCATAGTTAATGTGGAAGTCTTAAAAATAGTAATAATAAGAGGAAGAATTATAAGAAAATGAAAACTGAAAAAAATAAATAAAATCTGGCCTAACGGTAGGGGTTTCATCATACATTTGTTATTCATAAACCCACCAAAGTCAAATCACTCTCAAAGACGGTCAGCACCTTGCTTTTATCGCCCGTGTTATTTGACAGTCATTTCTATTGAATCTTTTTGTGAGGTGCCACCTTAAATTAGTGCCGGTCGTCGAAAGATAATTCCCGCACTATAGTACTTGTATTCTAGCCCACTGCAGTTTCTCGACCTAATTTCGTTAAACAAGTCTCAGCTTTGCCTTTCATTTTTAGTAACAAATTTCTCTGTTTCTTTGTTTCTTTTTAGTGGGGTTACAGTCCACAGCCTAACCACTACTCATTGTGCAGATCTTTTGATCAAGAACCAAAAAATTGGTTAAGAAGTACACTCATTGATGCTCAAAACGTTAAAAGAGTGACCGTTGCCGTCACGTACACAATAGCATCCTTTTGTTCCATACAACCACCCAGCTCGTTTTGTGACGAAAAAATTGGCGTCTATGTATGGGAATCCGATGTGAGGGTCACTTCTGACAAAATTCCGAATCCCCTGACCAGTAACAGTTCCTACAGAGAAATTGCTACTACAAGCGGTCTGGCAAGCGTCCAAACAGTCTTACCCATAGCTCTTCAGCTAAAAAGCAAATATTTCGTTCTCGGTTTTCTAGACCAAGGTGGTTGCAAAGTTTTGTCTTCCGTTAGGATCACATACAACATCTGTCCTTCAACAACCCTTCAGGGCAGTTTGGTCCACTTAACAGAAAAAATAGCTCCATCAAGCGCCTTAAAGTCGGTCCAAGTGAAAGGAATGTGTGCTGCCGACTCTTTCCATGTTCAAGGAAGTTTGAATGTCTCTTGTGAAAGCGGTGGTCAGTGGAATGTCAGTCAGTTTGAAGGGAAATGCGTCTGCAAGGAAGACATGGAAAATATTGGTGGGACATGTTCAGGTATGCCGATGCGGTAATAACGCCCTTAAAGACTATATTTACCTGATGACACTAAATTCTAGACATACGATGATGGACATACGCTACTTTTGACCGCCAATTATTGATATATAGGCATAAATTATAATTACTATGTATATTTTAAAGTTGTTTTTTTTGCGTTGTTTCCTCATTCCAGCTTGTCCACCGGGAACTTACAATGACGCAAAGGGGCTTAACTGTACAGGTGTATAATTTCTTCACTTTTTGTTATGCCATAATTTATTCTGAAATGATTCAGAAACGTTACTTTGTTAGTCAGTCAGTCACAGTTTTGGCAATCACTCACTCACACACTCAATCAATCAATCAGTCACTCAGTCACTCACTCACTCAATTAATCAATCAATCAATCAATCAATCAATCAATCAGTCAGTCAGTCATGCAACCAACCTATGGATCAACCGATCTGCACACAATATATCGATCAATCATGCTATCGACTGATTGATGACTGAATCAGTCAGTTAAAAAATGGATGCAAGACAAAAAGAAAATTAATTCACAAGGTAACGGATCAATCAATGAGTTGATTCGCTCATGACAATTCATTCGATTCGTTCATGTGACGTGGACCCTAAGAATAACTAAATGAAGAGTAAGAATTAAGACCTTCTTTTTTGATTTTGCTGTCTTTTAGAAAGGTAACACCGTCCGAATGTTCTCTCTTTATCATGTATTTTTCCTCTCTCATTTAGCCACCCCATCACACCCGAGAAACGCTGTTATACTTTTTGTTAACCAAAGTTCAGCTGCGATAGCCTGGCTGGCTCCCGCCATTACTGGTGACCAGGAATTTTACGAAGTTGAATGTCGACGCACTTGCGATATTGACAGCAAGGCCTGTACTGATGGAATATGTGGTGGTAATGACAATAAAGGCTTCATATTTATGAACAAAGGTTACGCAACTACAATGACGATTCCTGGGACGACGGGTTTGCTTTCCCTGTTTGTAAACTACACTTGTAAGATCATGGCTAAGAATAGAGTCAGTGAGGTTGCTGCAAGAAAACACAAGGTCGAAGCAAGTAGCACCACGATAACCTTCAAAACAAACGGATCCGGTAAGTGACTGTGATGTTTAATGATGTCTGGGTAAGGAAAAGTTTTGAGTTTCTACATTCTTTTTGGAGAGTATAAGTTCATAAACCGCTAAGGCAGCGATGAGACGTTTGTTCCACCTTCCGGTGTATTGAAATTAACTGTTGTTGTTATGGTATCAGTATTGTTCTTGTTAACACATTTATAGGGAGTTTAAGCAGCGACGTTTTTGAGTGACGCATGTCAAC